GATGCCTTCCCACCTTCTGTTAGAGATGTGTCAGTGGTGTCCTTCCTTTCAAGCCACAGCTGCCCCAGGAGACAGGATCATTGCTGTGGCTCCCTCCTGCCTCCCTCCACCCCTTTCACACTATGATTTAGTGATTAAAACTCATGCAGAATGTAGCAGAACGAGGTTTGATTTCCTCCTTGGCCGCAGGGGATTTAGATGTTTATCTCCCGTGGGTGTCCCAACCAGCAGGCTGCAGGTTGTCCTGAGGCGGGAACACCTTTCGTACCATCTAAGGAATCTGGGCACAGTGTGGGAAAACAGCTGACACCCTGGGCTGGGGGGCAGGGATCGGGAAAAGGCTCACGGATCACAACACAGGTAGTTGTGGATGTTTGCTAGGGAAAAGGGCATCCTGGGTTCCCATACTCGCTTCAGTGCTCTTTGGATACGTCTGTTCTAGTAAATTAAGCAGAGCTGGGAGACGTTCCCCATAGTTCTTCATAGTCTTGAGACAGCTCCAGCGGCCCCCAGCTGAGTTTTGGCATCTGCCAGTGCACACACCCTCCAGATGCTGTGCAGGCACGGGCTGGGCTTTACCCAGAGGCAGGGAGCGCTGCCCGCAGGCAGCTGCGGGGATGGTTTGGGGATGAGGTCCTCAGTGCTGTAGTGAGCTTAGTGCCTGAGACCCATCCAGGGCACATCACTACTCAGACGTAGCCCTTACATATGTAAGATTAAAAAGCGTCATTGGATGACTGGAGAGCGCACAGAGCAGGGTCTGAAGCTACGGGCTCCTCCTTAGGAGAAGGTGGCTGCCAGCACGGCTCTCCCGAGCTCCCGCTGCCAGCATCCTCCTCCAGAGCCAACCCAGCAGCTTCCCTCCAGCTGGAAACCCTGCCAGCCCGCGAAGGTCCTGGGGGAAGGCAGGAGAGGTGCTCTGCATCAGCAGACCCTTCCCTTCGCCTGCACGGGGGCAGGGACGGGCAGGGAGGGCCGCTGCCCTCCCTCCACCCAGCCTGGGCAGGTGGGATCCCGCCTGGGACGGAGCTGGGCGGGAACAGGAACAGGGAGTTGGTTCCATAACGGCTGTTCCCATCCTGCCAGAATGGCCAGAATTGGTGAAGGCGGCAACCTGAGCCAATTCATCTATTTATTTACAGTTTTCAAAGCCACCCCTTGCAGTATCCTTTGCAGGTCACCCGCAGGAGGATCACTGCGCGTGGACAGTGACACTTGGAGGGTTTTTGTTGAGTCCTTATTCAGATGAAACCTCAGTCCAAGCCCACGGGAGGTTTCCTGAACCAGCACTTTGTGCCTTCAGCGGTGCTATTTTTTATCTCCACAGAAATTGCTCTCCTGAGACACTTTACAAATTCCAGTTAATAGTAACTTCTCATTTGTCATTGGTACGCTGCTGTAGTCCGAGAGGTAACCAAAAATATCTCCGACTCTTAAACAGATAACTTCCTTTAAAAATTCCTCCTGGAATTGTGTCAGAGAATATACAGAAGAGGAGAACAAATCTGAAACCCGGATTACCACTGAATACCCTGACTGTAATGAAGTGGTGTTAGCTTTTACTTAGTTTAAAAGCAAAATTACTTACATTTGCTGGAAAAAGCAGCCAGGAATAGTTTTCTGCATCACTGTATTCTGTGTATGGTCTGCAGCAGAGCTAAAATGTGCCGTTTCCCTTGGATTGCTTCCTGGGTTTTATATACAGTGTCACGTATTTGATACCACGTCAGAGCACGGGGCTATGCTGACAGGATTTGTTTTGCTAGGCAACATCCCCAGAGCTGGTTTCACAAGAATTACTCGCTTGAATCATGGCAGCTATTAACTTTCAGCTGTCTGGAAAACTTGATGCCCTGCGTGGAAGAGGAGTCCCAGACACTTCCTCAAGTACATGCTTCGAGATGGAGCAGATTACAGGGTGTAATCCTGAACTCGTCTGGGTGCTGCATGAGAAAAAAAAAAAAAAAAAAAAAATATTTTATTCTGAGCAAAGAAAATGTGTCCTCTGGCATGAAAAACAGCGCTATATCTAGGTGGACTGGGTATCCCTGATGAGTGTTTGTGTCGGTGTTGCCTGGGCTACCCGGGTTTGATGCTGGTTACGTGTACACTAACCCTCCTCTATTGTTCTCCAGGCATGACGTTGGTTAAGCAAAGTTCATCTGTGTTTCAGGGCAGGGGAATCTCTTCACGAGGTCTCGGTGTGGTGGGAGAGAGGAGAAGCATCTCGCAGACACCGTGGAGAACAGCAGACCGATGTGTTCCCAGCCACACAGACACGTAGCACGGCTCCCAGCCCCACGGTGGATGGCGACCCGGTGGCTGGAGCCAGCCCATGGCAGCGACGCTGCGCCGGTTTCTGGTCGGCGGGGAGGGTTTGCTGCCAGTCCCACACCAGCTCTGCCAGCAGCACGCGTTCTGCGGGTGATGGAAAGGTGAAGAAAGATAAAGCGGCTGAAAATCCAGGCGTGCTGGAAAGCGCTGTCGCTACAGCCCCAACCCGAGGATGGTGCAGGGAAGGCAGCCCTGTGCTCCGCCGCCCGCTCAGGGGGCCCGGCGTTGGCCCTGGTGGGACCAGACCTGCCCAAGCCAAAGTCACCCAAAAAAGGGATGTGACCGGCTGGCGACTGATGGAATTTGTACTTTGACATAAGAGTATATTTATTCTTGTATTTGATTTCAATAAGAACGACTTAGCTTTTGCCAGAGGCTCTCTATAGCAGTTTTGTTTGTTTTTTTTTTTACAACTACTGCTTCTATTATATTTGCTTATTTTGCTTGCATGCCGAGACGATACAGCAGAAAGTCAGCTGCAAGAGCATCGGTTCTGCAAACGAGCTACCCGCTTTCTCAGCAGCTTGAAATTTCATCACTACTCGCGGAAAGATAATGCAAACCCATTTCGTCAGAGTGCTTCCCCCGTGGCGCCGACGCTGTGGGAACAATAATAAAATCCCAGGGAAGGTGGGAAGGGTGAGGCGGGGTGCTGGGCCCGAGCCGTGCCCCGCTTCACCTTGCAGGGCCGGCACGGAGAGACGGGCCGGGCCAGGGGAAGGGCGGCTGCCGTCAAATCTTCAGTCAGTTCCCCTCGGTTAACCTTGACCTGCGTTAGTGATCGCTCCCCACGACTGATGTTTTCCCGTGCTCCTCTTTGATCCCAGCACTGTCTCCCTCGATGCAACGCGGCGTCCCTGATTGATTTCTGCAGCGCCGTGAGATGGTTTCCAGTATTTTTCCAGAACCTGTTTATTTTGTGCTGCACCTTTGTTTGAAGACTTTGGCCAGCTACGTACATTGATCAGCAGTGCTCTTTACAGCTGGGGACTTTTAATTATTTTTTTTTTTCCTCAGCAGCCAAAATACAATTGAATTTAAATAGAATTCACCAATAGGTAAAAAAAAAATTTTGATTTCTTTTTTTTTTTTTTTCTGACCAAAGTACACCACTGTACTTTTGAACCCCGGAGGGTTTTCAGCACTTTTCCCTCACCATCTCCTCCGTGTCCCCTCTCCACCTCTTTGTAGTGCAAGTTTGAACACCCCAAAACACTGCCAAGGCGCTCCATGAAAACTTCCCATCGCTTCTACAACCTCTTGCTGAAACTTTAAACAGTCCTATTCCCTTTTTCTTTTCCTTTATACCACGCCAAGAACAGCTTTGTCGAGGAAATCCAGATAAATTACATTATCTGAATATCTTGCATTTTGGGGAAGTTTTTTTTAACATGCTGGAAGATTTTGAGGAAATTGTTGGGAGGCGTTTTTCTTTGCAAATAAGTCTGCAGCTTGGTCCTACGGAACAAGTCCAAACCCTTATTCTTTGGAGGTGAGCCATTTATCTAGTTCTACAGTCGGGCCATCTGCTGCGATTCCCTGGGCCATCCTGATTTATGGTCAAGGTATGTACAGCCTGTGCTGCTCTTCTGATTTTTTACATCAGTTTGTTTTGGGTTTTTTTTGTCTCTTTAGCTGCTTGAGAAACCAGAACAATTACTGTCTGATCTTCAGTCAAGATTTCCTGTTTCTCCCCTCATTAAATGGACGGAGGGTCTTCTGTCCGGGCATCTGACTTCGTATTATTTCCCATCTTTAGTACCCTCGGAGAATAGACATTTCTCCAGCGCCTTTTGTGATTCCTCACTGAAGTTCTCCACAATTCCTTATTGTCACTGCCTTCTCTCCCCTGCCTCGCAGAGTTTGAGAAGCTCATTTTCAAAATCATAAACCAGCCAAATGACCGCCTCTTCTGACTAGAAAAGGGAAAAAGGAGAAGCCAGACAGGTATTTGCAAGAATGAGGAGGAGTTGGGCTACAAGGGGAAGAGTCTCGAGGACAGGACTGTCACATAGCATCTCCTACAGGCGCCAGGCAGCAAACCAACAGGAGCACTTGCTGAGCTGACCTGCTGGAGAAAACTTGCAGGGCCTGCATGCTGGGCAAGAAGAAATTGGAGAGTTTCAGCCCTATCCCTGCTGGTTTGGGGCTTCAAACAGCAGAAAGGTTAGCAGACTCTCCAAGGGAGGCGGGGACTTCCCGACGCGTCCACAAATCCGACACAACTGCCCCTCAGACACCACCGACATCCCCAGGCAGGCGGCAAGGCGAGGAGATCACGCCGTTGCTCGCAGAGGACGGCGATTCTCTCCCCAGATGTTCACAGACGAGAATATTCCAAGACTTTCATTACGAAGAGGTTCTTTTATGTTGGCCCCTTGGTAAAACATGAAGGGGCAGGTATGGAGAGGTGTGACCTGAGCCTGTTCTGCAGCTCGCTCAAGAGCATGAGTTTCCACCTTTCCAAATAGCTCATCAGCAAAGAAAATAATCAGCTCGCTTATTTTATTGACTTCATTCTCTATTTTCACTATAGAAAAGGAAATTCACTTTTAATGAGGGCAAATGCTGGGATGAAGCATTACTGATGTAATGTTTATTCCTTGTGGACTGTAAGTGCAGTGATACCACATCCTTGCAGGTGGCTTCCAGGATTTCATCAGCCCCTTTTTTTTTTTTTCATAGCTAACAGAGAAGATTTCCCTACAGGGAAATAGCGAAAAGGTTGATGGCAAAATCCTTTTTGTCTGAGGTGTTGAATGTATCGAGAGTACAGATGAAATGCATAAAGGAGTGATGGTGATGCATAAAACCAGGGGCAACAACAAGGTACCAAAAGGTTAATGCAAATCTCACTTGGTTTTGGCTTCCTCCCTCGCTGACTAACTGGTGTTTCGAACCTGGAAACGACAGAGGTAACAGCTTTCTGAGAAATGCCCCTCCTCCAAAGTGGCTGAGAAATTCCCCACAGCTGCCCACCCCTGAAGTTTTGGGAGTCTCTTGAATGAGTTTGCAAGTTCTCAGCTGGCAACTCTTCTAAATGAATAATGCAGGGAAGCTGGAAACCACCCTCCAGCCCAGGTTAACCCCTTCTGGGCTCCCACCCTGCAGAGCTGCGACCCTGCCTGCACAAATCCCTCCTCAGCGGGTGCTCACTGGTTTCTCTCTGTGTCGTGTGACGAACAAACCTTTGTGCCTTTTTATTTTTGTCCGTACCGTGGTTTTACACGCAGTCTGTCACCCTCGTTCAGGGCTCACAGCAGCCGCGGGGCCCGCAGTAGCTCCCATGGTCAATTCATGTTTTTAATTAAAGGTCGGGGGAAGCACTTTCCTTTCAGGCACAGCGCTCCCGCGCTGGCATCGCTCAGCCCATCTCCGAGGGTAAGGGTGGCGGGATCTTCCCTGGCACCCACAGGCTTCCTTGTCTCTGGCACCGCAGCTTTCTGCCCAACTCCTCCACCCCCCACACCCAGCGCACGCTCACCCCGCCCCTGACCGACGGCCTCCATCACGGTCAGTCCTCGTGGACCACACAGCAAGAAACCACACGCGTACCTACCGTGTTCTCCCCTCAGTGCCAAAAATTGAATGCGATTTTTTTCCTCTGCCTTTGGAGGAGCACTAGAGCTAACTTGGATATCTCCTCTAAAGTTGGTGCCTCCGTGTGTCCCCGTGATAAGTTCTGCCCCTTGCATTACTCCGTTTCCAAGGCATAACACTGTTACTTAGCTAACTGAATCACAAAATTAAGTATGTTTGAATTTAAAAGGTCTAGTTACATCCCATCAACGCAGAAAGCTTTTTCCACTGCAATTATTTGTCCAGTATTTTGTCTTGATTTTAATGTCTTCGTCTAATGACCTTTCCTCCCCTTCCTTGATGCACCGTCTAGGAGCTCTTCCTACTGTAAATGGCATGTTTGTTTGTTAAGTGCCCCCTTATTCCATTTATCTAAATTATCATTTATCCCTATCCTGTGTTCTCCTTTTATTTATTACTTTCTTGGTGTTTCTTTGTACCTAACACGTATATAAAAATGTATAGCCTTACTCATGGAGTCTAATATTGTATTCATAAACAGGACCTATTGTTCTGACTTTTTTAGATTGAACAAGATACACAGATATCGCAGATCGTCAGATAAGTCTTTCAAGACTTTTGTCTTCCTTCCAGCTCCTCACACCTGAGAACAGACAAGTACATCGTGTGAAGCACAGGAGAAGGCAGAAACCCACATCCCCCAGCTTGCCACAAAAGAGAAGAGGGAGCTCATTTTTGTGGTCTTTCAATAGAAATTGTGTTGTCAGCTTTGAAACTGC